ATTTGCCTATGGGGCAATGTACCAGATGAGAAAGATATTTTCATTGTACAAAAATGAATTTTGGGCTATTTTTAAAATATTTCGTGTTTTGACGATTCCATGTCTCTACATTTTTGAAATGTGTGTCCATGTTTTTAAAAATAAGAAGACTTATTTTCGCAATTCGAATATTCATAGTTATGGAACAAGAAAAATGCAACATTTTCATGTAAATTTAGCAAAAAGAAAAATAAATTCATGTGCTGCTGATCATTTTGCCCACAAAATATTCAACAATCTCTCAGAAGAATCCTTACTAATATCAACTACTCAACTGATCATCATGAAATTTTGTACACATGTTCGTGGAGGTATTAGAAGTAACATAGGATACTTTTTATTAAAAAAAATATTTTTCATGTAAGATTAAAAAATTGTTTATCAAAAAAACCTCAAAATCTAGCTACTTTAACGTCATCTAGCATTCCAGTAATGAAGTTCCAACCCTTTGTACCGTAATACCGTCGCACTGTATTATTCACAGTGACGACATCCTTACTTCCCTACTGATATTATAAATGCGAATGTAAGTTTGTTTGTTACGGTTTCACGCGAAAACTACTCAACCGATCATCATGAAATTTTGTACACATATTCTTGGAGGTATTAAAAGTAACATAGGATACTTTTTATTAAAAAAATATAACTCTATATAAAGATATGTAGATCATGCAAATAATTAACTTCCACACACAAACTGAAAGAAAAAGCCCTCCCGAAACAGCTTTTTTCATATAAACATTGAATCACACGAATGAAAAATACTTTTGAAACAAATAATTTCATATGAACGCTGAATTATACGAAAAACACTTTTATTTATTCCGTTTGTATTCCAAACATTCCTATAGAATCAAATCAGATATCATTCACAGGATTCCTACACAATATTAATAATGAAAGAAGTAACATTTCACTTACATGGAACACTGTCATCCTCACTGCTAGACATCCGATGAACGAATTGAGTCTTTTTTCTTATAATGTTATCCATATTTGCTACTGAAAAGAATGAAAGAGCATAGGGGTAGTTTCTCGAATGAAACGACCAGTTCCACATTTGCAAACCATCTCACTGCAGAGATGAATTACATTCTAATGTGAAAGTTGGTAACTAGTTCATCACATGTCCATTTAATGAGTAGGTAAAATGTCATTTATATTTTGATTTTGATTTTCAATAAGTAAAATAATTAGTCATTAGGTAGATGAAAGATCATATGATTACAATATAGATCTCTACTAATATTATAAATGCGAATGTAAGTTTATTTGTTACGGGTTCACGCAAAAACTACTCCCCTGATCATCATGAAATTTTGTACACATGTTCTTGGAGGTATTAAAAGTAACAAAGGATAATTTTTTTGCGAATGTAAGTTTATTTGTTACGGGTTCACGCAAAAACTACTCCCCTGATCATCATGAAATTTTGTACACATATTCTTGGAGGTATTAAAAGTAACATAGGATACTTTTTATTAAAAAAATATTTTTTATGTAAGATAAACAAAATTGTTTGTCAAAAAAAATCTCAAAATCTAGCTACTTTAACGTCATCTAGCATTCCAGTAATGAAGTTCCAATCCTTTGTACCGTAATACCGTCGCACTGTATTATTCACAGTGACATCCCTACTTCCCTACTAATATTATAAATGCGAATGTAAGTTTGTTTGTTACGGTTTCACGTGAAAATCACTCAACCGATCATCATGAAATTTTGTACACATATTCTTGGAGGTATTAGAAGTAACATAGGATACTTTTCATCAGAAAAATATTTTTTATGTAAGATAAAAAAATTGTTTGTCAAAAATATCTCAAAATCTATATACTTTAACGTCATCTAGCATTCCAGTAATAAAGTTCCAAGTCTCAGTACCAAAATACCGTCGTACTATATTATTCACAGTCACGACAATATCCAATCCAATCCAATTGACTATAGTTTCAGCTGTTTGGAATTTTTCTATATTTTTTGTTATTTTCTTCTGTCACCCGCAAGCGAAGCCTTGGGTACAAGTTAGTTGAAGTATATAAAAGTATATAAATTGTCTTTATTTAAACATGAGTTAAAGAACTTTCTAATGGATTTTTTTTATAGTATATGTGATTTTATAAAAATTCATAATATGTGATTAATTAGGTATGTGTAATGTAAATTTCAGTGTAAGTGTATTTTACGCTTTTAATTTTTTTATGTGAATTTCTATTTTATTTCAATGTACCTACTAATCAACCTGCCAATTGACAATTCCAATACATGTAAACCATGTCGAAAAATGAAAATAATTAGTGATTTGGCAAAACAGACTGAAGAAATGACAACTAATTTGACAGATGTAGTTTCAACAAGATGTTGTCAAAGTTCGGAAGTCCCTGTTGGAAGGCAGTCTAGATATTTTCACTATTTTTTTGGTTTTATGAGTCATGAAATGAGACTGGCCAGAAAAAAGTAGCGGTTTGATCAGTAAACAATACATTATAATAGTTTTTCATTCAAAATCTGTGCAAAATATGTTTTTCCGTTAACCAGCTATCGCACCCCTACGAACGACAACCCTCAGAATTCGAAACTTGTGCGAGTTAAGGATTAACGAGGTCTCACCTATTAACGTGTGATTCATAACACGGGTTTGATGATAGCAAGTGAAAATCGATAGTTCAGACTAGGACTTGAACCACCGACCAACACGGTAGTCAATTCGAGTGAGTGAACAAAACACCCACGTCGAACCGCTTGGCTACCGACCTACCGTAGCTATATTCGAAATATGACTTCAGCATGAATCTCAGATTTGCATAATCTCTTAAAAAAATCAGCAGGAAGTAGTTTCTGAAGATATCAAAAAAACTTCTTTTAAACATTCAACTCTTCGGGTTGGGCTGCTCAGATATATTGCTCTATCAGCTTTTCCCATCATTACACTTTTTTTGTTTAAGGGGGTGATTTGAATTATAATCAAGATATCAATTTGACCATGTTTGTTTTGAGTATCATTCGGTATTGATTTTATCATTAGTTCTGATGAGTGTCATGTCTAGACAGTTTATTTTTTTGTTTTTTTTTTCAATTTCCATGGAGAACTGTAATTTAGGGTGGAAGGAATTGAAAGCTTTTATTATTTCATTTAGTTTGTCGTTAGGGATTCCTGTCAGGCAGCCGTCAACATATCTTTTGAAGAAGGGAAGCTGAAAATTTTAATTTTGTATGACGTTTTCTTCTAAGGTTTCCATGACGCGCTCTGCGACTGTACTTGAGATGGGGCAGCACATTGAGCAACCATCTAACTGTTCATAAAATTCGCCATTATACTGAAAATAATTTGTGGATAAGGTAAGCTTTAATGCATTGATGAATTCGTCTTTAGGAATGGGGGTATGGTCTTTCAACTCTTGCCATTTTTTATTAATGATGTTTTCTACCAGTTCATTTGGTAGGTTCGTATATAGGGATGTGAAGTCAACTGATATGATTTGGTAGTTTTCCGGTAGTTATATTGTGTCTATAAATTTTTTGAAGGTGAACGAATCTTTGACGTGGAAGTTGTTATTTTCCGTTATCTGTAATCTGTCTGTTTTTCCGTTAATCAGCTGTCGTCCCCATACGAACGACAACTCTCAGAAGTTGAGAAACTTGTGTGAGCTAAGGACTAACGAGGTCTTACCTTTCAACGTTTGATTCCTAACAAGGTTGCAGAATCATCTCAGCTTCAACCAGATAAATTCTCTCGAGAAAAATATCTGGTCGAGGCAGGAATCGAACCCACGGTCTTCCGATCATGAGACGGGCGCACTCCCACCGCAGCCAATATGTTTGATAAACTATTGAACAGAAATGTTGATGAGTTGTAGAAAGGTGATTGAATGGATGATACGATTGGTCTGAGGGGGTTATTGTGCAATTTAGGTAATCCGTATATTTTGGGTGCAGTTGCGTTTTCTAAGGTTAAGAAGTTTCTTGTTTTTTTCTGGTATAACACAAACACAATTTCGATGTCAGCTTCAAAGCATACAACACTTTAAAATAATTTTACACCCCTCTCAAAAGTAGAGATCCGCAATTTAAAAAGTCCAATCTTGTATGTATATAGCATTCCAGGCAATGACTGTGACAAACAATATATTGGTATGACATTACAACTTTTAGGGAACAGAATAAATGGACAAAAATATATGAAAAAATCAAGTACTGCGTTAAACAAACATATCATACAAGACGATCACAAATCCAATTTTGCAGAAACCAAAATTTCAGCCTATGAACCAACCCTAAATAAAATAATCGTGAAAGAAATGATTTACATCAAAATGAACCATAACAGAATGAATGACAGATGGGACATAAACAACTTGAGTCAAATTTACTATTGCATCCTATAACCACCTACAATACCCACAATCTATATAACAACACCCATCCCCCCTATACACAATAAAAAGAAAATTAAATGCACATACGCGAACAAACTAATATTGAACAAATCAAATTTCCAACACATGAATACGTCATTTCCGTCCTCATCTTCATCAATCACCGAAATTACACACACAGAAGATCCTTTCGCCTGCCATTTTCAAGAAAACAATGCTCGTTTCAATTTCTCAAAAAAATTCAGAAACAGAAAAATATGACCAAAACTTGCACTATAAATCATCATAAATGCAGATTCAAATAACCGGAACAACAACACATCAACACTGTTCAATTTCTGATGTTATCAATAATTTTAAGCAAGGTACGTACAGAAGAAAAGTTTATGAACATTCAACAAATGTATCAATTCATAGGAAAGACAATAAAAATAAAATTGTATTCTATTTCAGAAAACCACGTCCAATATCCAATGTATTAAAAAAATGTATGAATAAACAATGAAAAAGCCTCTGGCTAGGGGCGAAACGTTTTTATATCTGTAGTAAATCTGTTAGTTCTCTGCCCAGGTCAATAAATAACTATTTTCGTATGCGAAAGTGTTTTATTACATTCACTACATTTTGTCACCTGAAACAGAAGAATTTTCTCACTCCATTCGTCAACTGGTTCAAATATACAACTTTTGAGTTTTTTAATTAAAATGAAAATGCAAGAAAAATTTATATAGCGTTTTCAACTGTATAGTCAGCTAGGATTATGATGTGGAACACTTATGAGTGGAAAACTCTTATAGTAAAACGTTAGATATTGAACATACATCATTACAAGAAATTACATTTGTCATTTGATAAAGGAAACGAACAGTTTCGACATATTCAAGATACGAGGTTGTTCGCAATTTCTCCACATTTTAATAATTCCATTGTTTCATTCCAAATCGAATCCATCAGAATTGAATCTTTTGCAGTTCCATATGTGCTTGTTATTGCACATTCTTCGAAGTGCTTTCCTGAATGTACTTCAATTCCTTGTTCTAATGCTGTATGTATTATTGTTTGTGCTCCTTCTTCAGGTGTCTGAAATTGAAAGTGAATTTGAATATTTTCACGTTGACTGAAACTATGAAATAATTGGACGTTTCTTCTCTTCTTCATTCAACTTTCCATGATTTTGGGTGATAATATTGTGTTTCAATAGATCAAGAGATTCACAAGCAATAAAAAGTTTCAGTCGACCATTGGCATAATAATACTAGTGATCATTTCAAATAATTTGAATTGTAATCGGTGAATTATGTCCGTATTTGTCCAATAAATAATAATCAGTATAAATTTGAGGTAGGTTGATGACATTTATTAGTTAGTTTATATATTTTCATAAACTACACCTCACGCTTTGATCTCCACAAACTATATTTTGAAAAATATATCACATGTTTCGCTAACACAGTAGCTTCTTCGGTGATGACAAGTTATTTGAATGAAGCTAATGTGTTAGCAAAACATATATTTTTCGAATAAAGTTTGTGCAGATCAAATCGTGAGGTGTAGTTTATGAAATCGCTATGGATCTTTATCAAGTAACGGCCAAATCGATTAGAAAATTAGTTTATATAGTTATTTCATCAATTATTAGTTTAACCCGTCTATGGATAGATGTTTGCTGCAGTTGATTCCATTAGTTTTCATGAAATATGATTATTTAATTTTTGTGCCAGGGTCAGATTTTCAGGTGTCAGAGAGCCGAAAGAATATTTGTTGAACAAGTTGTCATAAATATCACACAAAAGAGAATAGTATTCTTTTGCCGCTTTGACACCGCTATCAATACCTTCTCAAAAAAAGTGTTGCATACCATTTAATCATTTTCTTAAGTTAGACTTTAAATTATCGTTTGTTTTCTACTGCCTAGATCAAGTATTCAGCAGTCCTTACATGATTTCTTTGCCCTCATTGCCTTCCATTAGTTCAACCGAATAAGTGTTATCGAATTCGAAAAAACGCTTCAAACGGAATTCGGCGGAATTCGCATGGTGCTTTGCAGTGAATTTTATTAAGAAAAAGTTTTTTCGTTAAATGTCGTGGTTAGTTCGACATCTTCTTCAACGGGGTCTTCTAGACGGACGCTGGGTCCTCTTCTGGGAACGAATCTTGCCAGGGTTCTGGGTACTACTCTTGTTCTTGGTGGTCTCGGTGGATTGTCGCTGCTTGAAGAGGTGATTCCGATCGCAATTGACTTCTTGCGATTGCACTTACAGAAAATATACAGAATCACTAGTGCGATGATCAGTGCGATTGTAAAATACGTGAACCAAAAAATATGTTTGTTCACGAATGGTTCGTTGATGAGTTGGTCCAATTCATCTGAGTATTGGTTCAACTTGTGTTCGGCGATGTTGAGATCGTCGACATTTATTTAATTCAACTTCAGAGGTTTCAGCTCCGTGAGTTTTGATTTTTCCGGGAGGTGGTCACAGCATCGATATGGTATCTGGACTGCATGTTTGTTGTAAGTTACGTTCTGATATCAGCCACAGGTTTTCAGAAATCACTTGAACGTTGTAGTTCTTCGCGTAGATTACTGTCGATTTACAATTTTCGGGCAATTTCAGAGTTTGTTTGAGAAGCTGGGCTTCACATTATATCGTTGCTGCTGCCTATCGGGTATGGAAGCACTTCTGCACAAATTTTCAAGTCGGTTTTGATCACTTTACAATTATCTAAATTTTGAAAAGAAGTGTACAACATTGAATCGTAGTCTCGCGCAATAAATTTTTGAAATGTTAATAATATATGGTGAAGTCCTGTTCGAGCATCCAAGATTGGTATTGGATATAAATGAAAAAAATGTGTACGTTTCAGGCTCTACGAGGGGAATTTTTGAAACAAATACTACTTTATTGTCTGTTTGATATGCTTGCAATTCAATAAGGTCTAGGTATTGGGGAATATTTCCAATACTGACGTATGATGGTGAATTATTTTTGTTCAATGTTTGTGATATTTCTTGAAGTGAATAAAGTGAATCTCTCGATGTAATCATTGAACCATGAATTATTTTCAATCGAGCGAAAATGATTGAATTGATGATATCACCAATAAAAGTTTTAAGGAATAGGTAGCTTTCCATGAGTGATTCGCATATTTCTAGAGTTTTTATTTGAGCTTCGTTAAATGCCATATCGTCTGATATTTCCATTTGTGTCCGTGAAGATATCTCTAAACTTTACTTGTAGTGAGTCTGATATTTGGCTCAGAAGACTGGTATGTGTTTTAATTTGAGCTTTGAAAGCTAGTATTCTAGGCTCGTCTCTGTCGAGGAAATAAATGAGGTTTTCTATGATTTTATCATTGTTGTACAGAGCGTCTTTGATGGATGATAAATCTTGGTAGACCAAAAGGGTTCATTTTTCATTTGTTATTTTGAGGGTTCCTTCTTGATGGAAGAAAACGCCGATCGAGTTATTGAATAACTCTTAGTTGTATTGGGCACTGGCTGTTGATGACAGCAGAAGTGTCCTGAAAAAGATTATTATTATTCATGAAAAGATTTGAGGCGGTCAAAATTTACTTTAGTTTTATTTCGCGTTTTCCAATTCACTAACATCGCGGAGTTGGGATAAATTTCTAATATTTCAAATGGTCCGTTGAACTTATTTTCGAGTTTATATGAAATTTGTGACTCTTTCACATATAGCTTGTCTCCTACTTTATATTTTCGGGAACTGTCCTATCAAATCTGATTTTGGACTTTTCTTTTTGTCTTTCGGTTTTTGCTCTGGCCAATTTATAGAAATATGTCATGCGGTTATTAAGATCTCTAACATATTTTGAAATTAGGTATTTTTGGTTATAAAGTGTTTCTGGGGATCGACTAGCTGTATATCCGAATATTAATTCATACGGTGTGAAACCTGTTGTTTTGTTTCTCTTATTATTACAACAAGTAACTACATATGGTAAAACGTTCATGGGGTGTTCATTGGAATTTTCGGCTTAATGGGCGCGAATCATTTCAGCAAATGTTGCGTGGAATCTTTCGATTGATCCGTTCGATTGTGGGTGATTTACACTCAAATATGTGAGTTTAATGTCGTACAGAAAGCATAAGTCTTTCATAAGTTGACTTGTGAATTCTCGAACGTAGTCGCAATGTATCCTAAGTGGTGTGCCGTAATGTTGAAAGTAAAGAAGAAGAGTATTCACGACTGATGTCGAGGATTTGTCTTCTATGGCGTTTGCTTGTGTGAATTTAGTCAATTCGTCTCTTATTGTCAAAGCGTAGTATTTTGTAGGAATTTCGAAAATGTCTATATTGATACGTTCAAAATGGGTTTTTGCTGTTTCGGTTATGACGAGAGGTGTGCAAGGTTTTTTCGTCAAATTTTGACTTTTTGACAAATTTCGCATTTTTTCACGAAATTTCCGGCGTCTTTAATGAGACCGTGCCAGTTGTATTTCTGTTTAACTCTTCTGATGGTTTCATTATTGCCACGGTGTGAATTTGTTTTTCCTGAATGACATTGATCAATGATTATGGGAATATGATCGGGGTCAGGAGTTGTCGTTAGGTTTTGTCGGCAAAAATAAATGAAAATATTTCTAATATGGGTAGTTCTAGGTTGTTTTCAATTGAAAAAGTTTTTCTAAGTTCGAACTCTTTTTGGGATTTATAAATAATATAGAACATGTGTTCTATGACAGATTCAGGATCAAAAGGAAGGGGTATGATGTAGTATTCACGATCGTTGACTGATTTGCTAGAAAGTATATTGATTCTATCATTGTCAAACTCTGGGGGTTCTTCGGAGAGGACTTCGATGATTTCCTAGTGTAATGGTTCTAGTTTGTTTTGCCAAAAGAAACTAACAATGTTTTTATGGTGTTTATCAAGGAGTTGCGAATCATCAAACTCTATTTTAGAATAATCGATAAGAGATTTTGATTTATATGAATTGACAAATGTATGGAATTCTTTTTGAATGGTTTCTACGGATATTTCGTTTTCGGGGATGTCGTTTCCTTCAGGGCTATTATATTTTTAGATGCATGTATGGAAATTTTGTGTTGGAAGTTTGCGCGGAGTAGCTGACTTTGATTCGGGATAGTGCATCTGCATTTTTGTTGATTTTGCCAGGTTTGTAGTCTATCTGGTAATCATACTCTTCGAGTTTGAGTCGCCAGTATGCCAGCCTACTACCAGGGTCTTTTATTGAAAACAGCCAGGTGAAGGGTCTATGATCAGTAATTAATCGGAATTTTCGTCCGAAAAGATATGGACGGAAATACTTTACTGCCCAAACGATGGCGAGAAGTTCTCTTCCTATTATAGAGTACTTCGATTCTGCACTACAAAGTGTTCTAGACGCATATCCTATTGGAAAATCTTTGCCAATAGGACCTTGCGATAAAATGGCACCAATTGCAAATGCACTGGCGTCAGTTGTGAGCAAAAATGGTTCCTCAAAATTAGAGTAAATGAGAATGGGGCTCGTTATGACCGCAATTTTGAGTTGTTCGATTGCTTGTCTGCATTCAGCGTCAAAGTTAAAGGGGGTATCTTTTTGAAGTAATTTGGTCAATGGTTTCGAAATTTTGGCGAAATTGCAAATTAATCGTCGATAGTATCCAGCTAAACCTAAAAATGATTTTATTTCTTTTTAGGTTTTTGTTTCTGGAAAATGTTTGATACATTCGATTTTCGTAGATTTTGGTTGGATTTCGTTGGGTTTCCGTTTTGGGTAATGACGTGTCCAAGATAGGCGACTTCTTTTCTCAAGAATTCGCATTTATCCGGTTGAATTTTGAGGTTCGCTTTTCGAAGTCTTTCAAATACTTCGGTCAACCTTGCTATGTGCTCATGGATGGTAGGAAAATATACGATGATGTCATCCATGTATACGAGACATCTCTCGTTCTGTATACTTAGAAGAACATTATCCATAACTCTCTGGAACGTGCTTCTTCAGGCCAAATGGCATACGAACAAATTCGTAGTGACCATTGTCTACGGAGAAAGCCGTTTTGGGAATATCTTTGGGTTCGATATCAATTTGATAAAATCCGGAGGCGAGATC